CTACTATTACTACTACTACTACTACTACTACTACTACTACTACTACTACTACTACTACTACTACTACTACTACTACTACTACTACTACTACTACTACTACTGCTACTGCTACTAGTACTACCTACAAGTACTACCGCGAGGTTCGTGCACCCGGTGGCGAGGGGCGGCTCCGAGGACCTCGGCCTCTTCGAGGGGGGGCCCGAGATCTTCGCCCAGCGCAGGGCCAGCGCGAGCGCGGTCGTCGTCAACGCCGCCGCGCTCTGGCTCAAGCTCCGGGGCGAGGAGCAAGCGTGCCTCCGCGAGAACGAGGCCACGGCGCGAGGGAAATGGGCGCGGACGGCAAACGGCGCAGTGCCCAACAGCCGCTTCTGTTCATTTCGAACAGGATTCGCTGTCGGTCACGCCGCGGCCTGTGCCCATTCGAAACAGAAGGCCGCCTGCCCAACAGCGGCCGCTGTTGGTTTGGGGCAACATTTGCAATGGGGCATTGTGCCCATTCCTTCCGCGCCCAGTTCGGGAGACCAAAAGACGCGCGCCGCGGGCGCCGAGAAACGCATTGTCAACATCCGCAAGAAGTACCGCGAGACGCACGACGACCACGACAAGGCAGTCTTCGAGACGGAGAAGGCCAAGTACTTGGCAGAGCACCCCGACCACTAGGCGCAACTGGAGCAGGCCTAATCGAGCGCAGGAGAGAAGTGCAGGATCACCCTCATCAACATCTCCGTGGTCGAGAACTGGTTCGACCCGAGCAGGGGGCCGAAGTCCGCCGGGGAGCGCAGCGCGCCCCGCGTCCCCTGCGCAAGGCACTGCCGAGTCAGCGACATGAACCTCGAGGAAGGCATCTGGCGGCGCGACGTCACCTACGGGCGGGGCGATGGCGAGACGGAGCGCTTCCGAGCAGGCGAGCCCCTAGGAGCATTGCTCAAGGGCTGGCGCAACGCCCTGCTCGAGTTCGCCGAGGCGGTCCGCGCGAGGGCCTTCGATGACATCGACGCGCGGGGGCAGCCGAGAGCCTGGGCGGACGAGCCGGCGGCGACCTGGGCCATCGACTTCATCGAGCAGGGGCGCGGCCAGAGCCTCGTGTTCGCAGACTGCCTCTCGGCCCAATGGACCGAGGCAGCGGCGCTGCGAGCGCGGCTCAGGAATGCCATCCACGCGCCCGTGGCCCCCGACGCCCCGAGCTTCTTCCAAGGGCCCGACGCCCGCGAGCACAGCCAGCTCAAGGCCAAGATCCGAAAGGTCAAGGCCGAGATGCACTGGGCCATGGAGCAAGACTGGATCCAGAGGGCCAAGGCGGAGCCCCAAAAGCAGTACAAGTCCCCAACACAATGGTGGCCCTACGAGTGCCTCTACTGCGTGTCCGAGGCCTACACCTGCTTCCGCGAGCAAAACAAGGGCGCGGTGCCGCGCCAAGGGCTGCAAGCCAACCAAATGCTAGCGGTCCGGTCGACAGAGCAAGGCGAGCTCGAGGTCGTCGCGGGCATGGGGCCGTGAAGCTACCCCATCGAGCCCGGCCGCAGCATCGAGGACAGCCTGGCGAAAGAGCGCCTCGAGGGCGTCCAGAGCTGGCCCGAGGGCGCGCCGCCCGTGCCCGAGTGGAGCGTCCTCGACGGCAACTGCTTCCACAACGACAAATTGCCGAGGGACTACGAGCAGGACGAGAACCCCTGTCTCCTGGAGCTCAGAGAGCCGGACCTCCAGCTTACCGACGAGCAGAAGGACATGCTCAAACCACCAGAGGAGCGGATCAAGGATATCAAATTCCCACGCGCCCTCGAGAACAGGATCAAGCTGAAACTGACAGCTAAACGCAAGAACAGGTGGGCGCCCAAATTCGCGGGCCAAGTCCTGGGCAAGCTCGCTCGCACGTGGCAGCGCGAGAAAGCCAAGACTGGTGGCGAGACCTCGCTCGAGCACCACAGCAGAGGCGCGGCCAAGGCGAAGCTCGCAGGCAGGCCGCCGAAGGCGCACGCGAGCTTTTCCCAGAAGCTCAAGCAGAAGAAGCGAACGGAGAAGAACGCCAAGAAGCAGGACAGGGCCAAGCAGAAAGACGGCCTCGAGGCTTGCGAGGAGCCCCCCTTGGACGGCAAGGTGGCGCGCGTCACCGAGGAGGGCGTCCACGAGGGCAGGCTCGGCAGATTGCAGGACGTCTGGCGAGTCGTGGGCGCCGAGGACGAGTGCCGCCTGCGCGTCCTCGAAGTGGAGACCACGTCGATCTTCCAGATCGAAGGCAGCGAGGCTAGGAGGGCCACAGGCACTCGTTAGCATCCGCCTGCTTCTGCCTGGGGCAGCGGAGGCAAGAGGGAGTTCGCGGAAAAAAAAAACATGAAACGAAAGCGGAAGCAAGCGGAAGCAACGCGAAGAGGAAGCAGGCGAAAGCTAACGAGCGTCTGCGAATCCCGAGCGCCACAGGTCACGATAGAGCAGGACTACAAGCTCCCCAGGCCGCAGAAGCTCGACTGGCACCAGACAAGACAGGCTCGCCGCACCGCGCTCGCCAAGGAGTGCGCGATCATGAACTGCGAGCAGATCGTCAAGGGCGACGCCCTCGAGCTGGGCACAATGCGCGCGCTGCCGGGCGAGATCGAGGAGCGCGTGGGCGTCCCCGACACCGTTCTGGCGGTCGAGCCCACGGCGGCCGGCGCCTGGGCTCGAGAGGGCCAGGGCGAGGGCGCAACCGCCGCCCAGCAGCCCGAGGAGCAGAAGCGCTGGGCCGGGAGGGTCGACAAGGCCCAGCACGTGCTGGTCTGCCTGGTCTGCGTGCTCTCCGAGGCGCCAGCGCACTACACGTACCTCAAGGTGGGCGGTTGCTGCAGTGGCCCCTCCCCCTGGGCGCCTCCAGCGTTCCGCTCCGGTTTGGAGCGAATCCTGGAGGCGCCCTGGGCGGGGGGCACTTGCAGCAATTCCCACGAGGTCTCGAGGATCGACGAGGGCGGCGTCGCGGTGGAGTACCGCGACGCCCTTAAGCAGCCATCCGAGAACGCCAAGCAGGCCCAAAAGGGCCACGTGCGAACTCACGCCTACACCCCGCGATTTCTGAAGGGGGAAGGTAAGTTTCACTTTGCTCGGGAGCTGCCGAGCGAAGTGCACCCCGCCCTCTTCTTCAGAAATCGCGGGCAGGGTTCGCATGTGTATTGGGCTATGGGGGCTGTAGGGCCATGCGACTATATAGGGCTATAGGACTATCGAGGCGATTGAGATTATTAGGGCTTCAAGGCTGCCGGGCACACGGGCACTCCGGCGCGCCGCCGAAATCGGCTCCAAACCTCGCCTGGCCATATGAATCCGCTAGGACCCCTACAGCGACAAGCTCTGGCGCCGACGCTTCAGTCGGGCCCAGGCCGACCCTCGGCGCCCCCGGTGGCCCCTCCTGGCCCGGGCCACCGCGTGCAGAAAAGTGCCCAGAGGGCTGCGCCCACTGCGTGACCGACGTGGTCAACTCCTCGTGAGCGGCGAATTCTCGTCACTCCGCGGGATCTCGACGTCCTTCTTGCCCCCCTTCTTCGGGGCGTACAGCATGCCGGGGAGCGGGATTCGAGCATCCACGCGCTTCTTGTAGTCCTTATACACCTCCCCATAGTACGCCTCGTAGTCACGCTCCTCCAGGAAGAAGGTAGCAAACTCGACGCATGCGTGGACCGGGACGACGTACGCCAGACGGTTCCACGTCATCAGGGGCGCGATGTAGAACTGCATCATGAACGAAAGCATGATAGGGTGTCGGACGACGGCATAGAACCCGCGCTCGGTGAAGGGGAGCAACATGCCCGCGAACTCGGGCACCGGCGTCTGGGCCGCGTCTTCGGGCGCGATGCTGGGGAGCCCGAAGGCCCCCTGGTGCACCTTCAGGTCGAAAGACATGTAGAACCCCAGGTGCTCAATAATGTCGACGCTGAAGATGGCCGCGTGAAGGAAGAGGATGCAGTTGCAAAACCGGAACGCGTGGAACCACGACGCGTACTCTGAGAGATCCCATATCGGCTCGAGATCGGACAGGACGGGCTGCCACAGAACCATCAGCGCGTAGAGCCCCACGAGGGTCTGGGTGACGTACATGCTGCGGTACGCGTTCCCGAAGATGGGCAGGAGCCCGCGCTTCACAGAGCCGCGAGGGAGCACCGAGTGAGGGATCAACCAAACCAGGAGAATGGCCAGGTTGATGGCCAGCCTCGCCCATAGCGACTCCGCCAGAGGGGGCACCAGGCACGCGGCGTGCCCGGGCGCGCCGCAGTCGATGCTGAGCCCCTGCAGGAAGCCCGGAAGAAGGTTCGGGAGCGAGTTCAACCACACGGGATACAGGTAGAGCCAAGGCCCAACAAGTGCGCCCGTGGCGACGCCGAACGACTTCACTGGACAGCCCATGGCCTCACGCGCGCTCGGGGGAAGGCCCCGTGTATGACTTAGAACAGGACAGCGACGAATCCCTCGGAGGCAGGCAAAATCCGCCGACCCCATGAGGCGTGCGCGGCATCCTTCCCAGCTGGATATGATGTCTCAGCCCCCCACACGACAATCTCTCGCCCGAAACCACCCATACGTTTCTCCTGGCCCCGGCCCTCCCACCCCAGGAGAGCTCCGTTCTTGGGACCCCCCACACGACGATTTCCCGCCCGAAACCACCCATACCCCCCTCCTGGCCCCAGCACCCCCCGCCCATACCCCCCTCCTGGCCTCGGCACCCCCACCACAGGAGAGCTCAATTCTTGGGACCCCCCATGCGACGATTTCTCACCCGAAACCACCCATACCCTCCTCCTCGCCACGGCACCCCCCACCCATACCTCCCTCCTGGCCCCAGCACCCCCACCACAGGAGAGCTCAATTCTTGGGACCCCCCACACGACGATTTCTCTCCCGAAACCACCCATACCCCCCTCCTCGACCCGGCACCCCCCGCCCATACCCCCTTCCTGGCCCCGGCACCCCCACCACAGGAGAGCTTCCCCACACGACGATTTCTCACCCGAAACCACCCATACCGCCCCCCTCGCCCCGGCACCTCCCACCCATACCCCCCTCCTGGCCCCGGCACCCCCACCACAGGAGAGCTCAATTCTTGGGACCCCCCATGCGACGATTTCTCGCCCCCCAGCCCCTCCGACCCTCCTAAAAATAAGAAACCCTCTTATTTATTTAAGAACCCTCTTAAAAAATAAGAAGGTCGAAAAACCCTCTTAAAAAATAAGAGGGTTTTCCAATACCCCAAAACCCTCTTATTTTTTTAGGGGGTTGGCGAAAACGAAGATTGTTGGAAAGCACGTGTCCACTTTCTTGCAAACCTTGCGGGAGCAATTGGAACGAAGCTGGGCTGCACACTGTTCAAACAATGTGCTGGCGGACTGGTTGAAGACAGCATTGGCAATTTCAAACGGCAATGGTAGTTGTGAGCGCAGCGAACGGCAGCCACACAAACATACATACATATACACATCAGACATACGTACGCACATACACATATACATACATTTATACACACATACAGACATGCATACACCCCTTGAACTTCTTTACGGAACACCCCCTTTAATGGGAGCCCCCTTTATGGAGCCCTCCAGAGTCCCCTCATGAAATCCCTTTATGGAATCCGTGGGGTTAGCTAGTCCCTTCATCCGAAGTCGCCACCTGTAGGGGCGCGAAGGTAATCATGCTTCACACTTCGCGGCCTGGTTTGCAGAGCTGTCTTTCTCCGAGGGGTCGGTGTGAGAGCGCAAGGATAACAGCGTTCTACGCTTCGCGCAGCGCGGAGCCCGAAGTTACATTGCCAAGCCTCTTCTGCGGTTCCCCCGTCATTGCCAGTGTACGTAGCCTTTTTCGGCTCAAGCTTGCAAGCCATGGCTTCTTTGAAAGGTCTGTCGCATGCGATTCATATCTCGATCATATACATAATGGCAAGTCGAACAAAAATGTTTCGGTACCCTGACTGCGTCGCGATGCTCAGCAAATGTTTCGATCGTGATCAGAAGCTTCCCACGTACAGCAGTACCGACATGAAAACAGGAGTGAATCTGGACAACCTTACTGAATTCCGTGAGAATCTTACAAAGTTGATGGGAGTTGACAAGAGGGGAGGTTATTACGGACAACCAGATATGGCGAAAGCAATGGCGGAGATTTTTGGCCATCGGAAGGAAGACATTGACGAGTACGCTTCACGTCATCATGTTTCAGGGCCTAACGAGACGTTTGCTTTGATGGCCTACTCAGTCCGCGTCATGTGTAGCCACATCAGAGAAAAAAGGAAAGAGTACTATGGCCGTTCCGACCCCAACCGTTCGAAAGACCCCGAGTGGCTGCAAACAGTGTACGGTGAAAGTGTTACAGACAAAGCTGGGGATCGGCCCTCGACAACAAGAAAAAGAAAGCACCCGATGCCAGCTTTTCGGGCCGAGAGCAGCGACGGCGAGGACGAGGATGAGGCGACTGAGACAGCGGTCATGGTTTTCAAATTTATCGAGCCGAACGACACTGGTGATGGAATGGTCGCATACGCTCTTCTTTCAGATGGTAGTCGAATGGCGGCTTCAAAGTACAGTCCTGGCGAGCGTGGATTTGCAATGGCACACTTTTCCAACGACCAAACATGTCAGACGGAAGTCCCATCGAGTTGTATCTCAGAGGATGGTACGGTCTTGAATTCCCCTAAGCTCCCAAAGGCAGCGAAGGGCAAAAAAAGAACCCAAAAGAAGCCTGCGGCCCACACGGTCGCCAAGAAGCCTGCCATGGCGAAAGCTCCTGATGAGGATGATGACGATCACGAAGGAGCCGAGGAAGAGGAGCAGGACGAGTCCGAGGAGGGCAAGGACCGAGCTGATGAGACGCCAGCCTACAAGCAGATTGTCAATGATGGCTACGATCTGCTACCAAGAGAGGCGAAAGACTTGATCGACAATCCTGACGACGTTGATAAGAAAACGTTCGTAGCTTACATGTCCGAGGGAGCGGGTAGCCCGAATCTACATATCACACTTGCAAAAGGAGACAAAGCGTCTCGAACGTTGTACGTTACAAATGTGACCAAGCTTCCAGATGACGAGCCAGCCCTGAAGATCACCAAACAGGCCGGCGTTTCACTCGGGTGGCCAACTACGCTCGACGCTGCAGGAGTTAAGCTTCTGTGGGAGCGCGCCGTCAGGATTTCTGGTTTGCAGAACTCGCCTGGCTAAGACGGCTTGGATGCGGCGGTGCCACAAGAAAAAAAAAACACATCCTTCCTGCTCCTGCTCACCTCCGTCCTGCTCCTGCTCCTCCTGGGTCGGGGATGCGGGGGTGCCGCAGTCTGCCCCCCTGCCCCCTTCGGGGCGTCGGCGAGGCCACTCCCCTCTGCGCACCCCTCCTTGCAGCCCTACCTTTAACCTTTCTGTTGCAAGCAGCCTTGGGCAACTCTGGACGCTTCGAATGGCCCCACCAGCCCATCCGAGAACGATGCCCCTGCAAGCGAGTTGCCCTGATCAAGGATGTGGAGGAGCACGGAGTACAAACGTTTTCGTTAATGATCTCAACTTTTCCCCTAATGGGGGGAAAAGATCTTAGCATTTCCATTTGGACTTTCAGCGGCATTGGGGGGTTTAACCCACATGCCAACAGCTAGGGCAAGACCTGTTCACACTCACTTGCTGGTCCGAGGTGCCCGAGGGGGCGACCAACTCTGGACGCTTCGAGTGACCCCACCAGCCCATTCAGAACGATGCCCCTGCAAGCGAGTTGCCCTGATCAGGGATGTGTAGGAGCACGGAGTACAAACGCGTTCGTTAATGCCCTCAACGTTTCCCCCGAAAGGGGGGGGAAAGGATACTTAGCATTTCCATGGGGACTTTCAGCAGCATGAGGTGTTTTAACCCACTGACAGGCCCCATGCCAGCAGCTAGGACAAGACCTGTTCACATTCACTTGCTGGTCCGAGGTGCACCTGCCCGAGGGGGCGGACAACGCTGGACGCTTCGAATGACCCCACCAGCCCATCCGAGAACGATGCCCCTGCAGGCGAGTTGCAGCACGGAGTACAAACGCTTTCGTCAATGCTCGTAACGTTTCCTCCGAAAGGGGGGAACACATACTTAGCATTTTCATGAGGCCCCAAGAGGCCCCAAGAGGCCCCCAAGAGGCCCGAAGAGGTCCCCAAGAAACCCATAAGAGGCTCCAAGAGGCCCCAAGACGGCACCCAAAAGGCTTCAAAACTCTAAGAGGCCCCCGAAGACATGCCAAGAAGGTCCCATGTCATCATCCATCATCGTCCTCACCATAGCCATTTTGGCAATATGGAGTGCTGCGTTTGCTTGGGGACCTATGGTCCGACTGATGGGATCATGGGCACTTGTGGCCACTTCCTGCACGGCGCTTGTGTGGCGCAGATGCTGGTGAGGGGCGATGACACATGCTTTATATGCAGGTCACACATGTCTCCAGAGGGTACCAGCACCCAAGAGAGGCTAGGTGCAATCGGAGTCGCTGATGTGGAAATCGAGACCCTCGCTGGACAGAGTTTGGAGCCTCCAGAGTCGTATTTTTTGGTCGCGCCTTTCTGTTGCAGGCGGGTTGTGGCGGTTGACACTGGAGTATTCGCAGACATTGAAGATCGACGCATGCACTGGGCCCCTTTGACTGATCCTACTTCTGGTGAGACGACAGGGCATTGGCTGTGCTACAGGCGCGGGGCGCCCTAATTGTACGCGCGAGTCCCGCTCCGACTTTCCTCCCCCACCTCGCCCGATCACACAACAGATGAGAAGAGGGGGATAGAAGGTCTGGACTCGCGGGTGCAACTGGGGCATTCTCCAAGGTGCGGTTCAAATTGCACTTTCTCGGAGACTATCGACAAGGTGACGGTCGTAACACATCATGCCTCTCGCCAGCAGTCCTCCACCAGTGAGATTCCGAAGTCTGCGTTTCGTCATTGTGTCGGGCACGGTCGTTTACAGACGGTCATTCTCGACGTCGAGCGTGTGGCGGCTTGTTGGCATTTTGCATGCTGCCAAAATCGTTACACTGGTGATACTCCAGAAGTCATTGGATGCGAAGTCTACCACGCAGGTTCAGTAGTCATGGTTAGTGATTCCGAAGATGGCGGTTCTATCATGGGCCCGCCCGAGCATGGATCTGATGGCATCAGCGACGACATGAACCGCCTTGCCGCCATCGCGAAAGATATCTACGATGATTTCCAGGAGCTGGAGAGGATCGCAGCGTCCTGAGGCGCTGCACCAGTGCGCACACGGGGCCCCCGCGGGCGGGCCCATATCCGGCATTATATCCGGCAGGGGGGGGGGCGACAGATATAGATTTTGGAATGTTTCGAGCGCCCATGTCTGTCGGGGGGGGGCGACATATATAGCGACAGATATAGCGACAGATATAGCGGCAGATGTAGCTCGGGCGGGTCAGGGGTCCGAAGGGCCTCAGGGCGGTCAAGGGGGCTCGAGGTGGAGGCGGAGTTTCGGGGGAGGGAGGTGGCTCCACTTGCACGTGCATGGGCTCGGCCGCGCGAGCTCATTTCATA